GAGTGTCACCGGGTGCCGCAGGGGATATCGTGCCGGACGAAACCGAGTGAAAAGTCTGGCCGGTTCCCTCGGTTCTGAGGGCGGTGGGGGAAATGCAGGAGCTCGGCCCTTGACGGTGTGCCACCCGTGGCGCGAAGCTGACCGGCAGTGCCGCGTCCCCAGTTTAACTCCCGGTGAAGTTAAAGATGAGACCGGCTCTCAAAAATTTGCCCCTCGTTTTGTCTTCTAACCTTGGCACCACTCACCTTGGCACCACTCAGCTGTGATGTAGGCAAAGTTAAAACGCGAGGCGCCTGGGACAGCACGGCATTTAAGTGGGGAGTCAGAAATAACGACCATAATTACTTTCCCGTTTCTGGATGCCTTTTTTTTTTTTTTTTTTAAGCCGAAACGGGAATAGGGGTTACTTGCTTTGGGCCTTTGTCAGGTGAGTGCTTGACACAGCTAGGGGAGCCCTGGAAAAGGAAAGTTCAGCGACAGGAGCCCGTGCTGGGAGATCAGTGCACCTAATTGGAGGTTGTGAGAAAAACCTATTTCAGAGTAGCTCAAGTGATCATTCAAGATCTCTGTGAAAAAAAAAAAAAAAACCAACATTAAAGTGGCTTTGTGTACTCCCCTGGCAATTCGGGTACTGTACCTGCACTGTCTGCTGTTTTATTTGTTTCCTCGTCTTTGAAAAAATCAGGAAGTGTTCACTATTTGTGGAGCTGAACTCTGAAGGTTTTATTGTTGGCAAAAGCTGAAGTTGGGTGGCTCATAGGAGAGCTCTGAAGACTTGACTTTATTTACTCTAACATCCATAGATGTTTATTAACCTGTATTGGAAACAAAAGATCACACGGCTGCTCACTAGTGACTTTTCCATAGAATACTTCTAAGATACACTGTCTTGATAATCATACAAGGAGCTGCTGCTTGTGTGAGAGGAATTACATCTGGATTTGATAATCCTGCCTGACCCAGAAGAGATTTGCTTCAAACTAACGTTCCTCTTGTATTTTTAAGAATATTTTGTCTAGTATCAACATACAAAAAACTTGAAGCTGACTTGAGTGGCCTTTTTTATTTTTTCCCAAGCAGATGTATACTTTTTTTTCTTCCCCTGCACACCCTGTTACATCGATGTTACAGACCACAAGGGAGACTTGGGGGTAAGAGCAGGGGGAAAAAAAATGGTCCCTCCCTTCCCTGAGAAACTGAGCAAAATCTTTTCTAAGCAGCAGAGCTGCAAGGAAGCCCTTAGGTACTGTCAGGATTTGACCTAGGCAACACCTGTTTAGCCAAAAGCAAGTCTTCAGCTAAATAATGATGTAAATGTGAGTGAGATTAGTCAAAGGCTCAGAGATAATAGAGATGGGAATTATACAACCACCAAATTACTTATATTTCCAGATATTCAGTATGAAGAAAGTAAGGAACTGATACTATCGGCATAAACCCTGCACACACCCACACGTTGCTGTGTAGATGCTGTACTAGCCGGTTGTCACCTCATGTGCGTTGTTAAACTCCAGCCATGAAACCCCACAGCAATTATTGGTGTTACTGTGGTACTCATCCACATAATTTGCTGTAACACATTCTCGCATTGGATAATATTAGATGTCCCACCCATGGTATATAAATAACCGATGTAAAGTATGTAAGGGAGAGTATTTGAAGCCATGGCTTTGAAGGAAAATGAATGTTGAAGTTGTTCTATTACATGACATCTAGACAAGATGTGTCTTTCCTCTGGCTCATGCCGTCAGCTTATTTATTCATCTGTATATTTGAGTGCTGCAAAAATAAAACTATTATGTCCACGGGAAATCAGGTCCTGAGGTGAAAGTCTGAGTGCATATGAAACAGAGATGTAGAAGGCCAAGTGTGTGACAGCTCAGAAAAATATTCTGGCGTGCACTGAGTGATGTTGGTCCTCAGCTACTGAGCCGTACTGGACATGAGCGAGACACTGTCCGGGAGCAACCCCTAGCTTTACAGATGACTCCTGCAATGGTCTGATCCCCCTAGCTCTGTCTATGAAGAAGGTGCTTACTGCGAGGCTGGGTACCTGTGAGCTTTGATGTCATGAAGCTGTGTCTCTGCTTAGCTACTGGCATTCTGCAGATACAGTAATAAACCAACTGGTCCTGGGGAAGGTTTCAGCTAATCCTCATGACTTGTGGTGTCTAAAACTCTCCTGCTCCCTTATGTTAAGGGAGCCTGTTTGTAAATAGGGCAGGTCCCCTGCATAAGGACAGTGTTTTTATTCACACCCAATGAACAAACACCTCCACCCACTGTTGTTGTTTTAAAAGACTCCAGCTGCTCATGAATATAGGGTCAGGGAGGGCCGCCTAAATGTTTCTCTGTGCTTTCTCCCCAGCGCAGCCAGCAGAGCTGTTTCCTGTTCTTTGTTTCAAGGCTGGGGTTTGCGTCACACATTCCAAGTGGCATATGTGGTGCTCTTTCCTGTTTCAGGCTGTTTTCTGGCAGATCGGTAGCCTCGTCCAGGCCCCTTGTCACTGCCCCTCAACTCCCAATCCCCACCCAATGAGTTATCATGTCTCTACATACTCACGATTGCTTAAGATGCCTGTGTTATGTCATAATGAGGTTTCCAAGTTAACCTTTAACGCACACCCGCGACTCCAATATAGTTATGGGGGTGAACTGGAGGGCTTCGCTCCCTTCGCTGAAAACTTGCACTTAAGTCTCCAGAAAGCTGTGAGCCAGTTTTCTGCTCTCACTTGCTCATCAGCCGATCTGGAATAGCTCCATTAAAGTCATGGAGTTACAGTGGTGTAAAAAGAGTGTAACTGAGAAGAGAGTCCACATCTGTAGGCTCATACTTGTAAGAGGGTTTTGGCTTCTGCTGTTACCAAACCTGCATGGCCCACCGTAAGCACCTTGTATTTCCACATCTCAAAAGGAATAGATACTTTCTTCTTACACAAACTAGGAGATTTACTGTCTTCCAGATGTAATACAGAAAATGAGGTGCTGCTGGCTACTTTTATTTGGAATAATAAATAGGTATGGCTGTCCCACCTTCTGCATTTTTGAAGGCATACAAATAAATAAATCACTCCTGGTTTTATATTTCTCTTCTCCCCTGCCCTCTTGCAGGCAGACATAGAGAAACATCGAGAGATAATTCAGAAAGAGAACATAAATCTTTCTGTTGCTTTGGATCTGACGGAAGAAGAGCTACAGGACCCAAGCCAAAGCTCATTGAAATCAAGCGACAGACTTGCATTAAGTTCAATGGGCTTTGAATCAGGCCCTAGATGAAAGTGCAAGATGGAGTGTTTATTCTTTTCTGTCACTGATGGGCCAGAATATGCATGGTTTCTGTACACATAGAAATGCTTTCACCCTTTCATTTTATGCCCTTTTTATTTCACTAATTTTTTAAGTCGTGTTTTAGTTCCTGCTGCTGCTCTTTTGAATGCTGAAAGTTAGTTGTTTGTGATCATTGCAGGTATCTTTTAAGAAGTATCAGAAATACGTGCATTAAACTTCCTCTTTCAGGGCTTGATTGTATGTGAAAAATAATTTTTACTGAGTTACGTACACATCCTTACATCAGCTTGTTTTTTGTCTGTTCAGAAATCCAAATAACAAGAAGTATTTGGCCACACAGTTTTGGTAAGTTGTTTATTGATTATTTTCATTTGTTACTCTTGGTTGTGTTTACTTAGTTCTTTTTCTGTTAATTTTAGAATACCATGGGTGAGTTTATCCATTAGAACCTGATTAAATATCTTAATTCTGGTGCTGTTAATTTGCACAGGATTTCAAACATATTTGCTCTTTTTTTCCCATGACAGAGGAAAAGTGTTGCATTTAGCTCCACTTAATACTGGAAAGTGGTGTATGATAAATGCAGTGAATTTTGTGGTTCACACCTTTTTGTAGCCAGAAGTTCTACAAAATCAGGGATTGAGATTAAAATTATAATAGTTTTTAAACCAACTTTTTAATATTAATTAATACCACTAACAGGAGGTCTTTTAGAGTTCTTTTATGCTGTCAGCATCGAAGCTTTGTGTTTTCATTCCGAGGCTAGTTGCTTCCAATCCAGAATATGAAGTTTGGCAGAGCTGATTTTAGGAGAGATTTAACCCTTCCCTGTTAAACATTCACTTGATCCCAAGGCTTCCTTTGAGGGTGTTGTAGCCGTAGTTGGTATCTCCCAGGGGAAGGAAGCGTCAGTATATATCAGCCAAATGGAAAGATGAAGCTCTAACAGGTTTTTAATAGTGAACTAAGTCAGAATGGAAAAAGAAACAAACTCGTGGTCTGCCTATCATGCAGTCAGTGTGTGTTACCGACAAACTAACTTGATCCATGAAGGCATGACAGAGTTTCCACTTAAAGAGTCTAAGCTGCTTTGATCACTCTCATTTGTACCCACTACACTATCCAGCTCTTTTCCCTGTTTGGTTTTTTTGGGGGGTTTGTTGGTTTTTTTTTCCAGTTCCGTAGGTATATAGAAGTTCATTGCCATTTGCCCGGTATTTGAATCCTCATTCAAATTAACCACTTTGGCTATTATTCATAAATGTACACTTCCTTTCTTTAGGGTTAGATTTATTTTGGTTTTTAATTCTTGCCCATACTATAAAAAATGTTGAATCTCTGTTTCATATGTTTCATGAAATAGCATGTTCTCTTTAGGTAAGAGAACAGAATTTTCTGTCATTCTTTTCTCATAATAAAAAGATAGGATTTGTATTTCTCGTTTTCAATTATCTTAAAAATTAACCTCTTAAGAAAAACACAACAAAAAAACAAAGTTCAGTTTGGAAAGGATAGATTGTCATACCATTCCACATACTTCACTTGTTTTTCAAAAGTCTGATCTTTTATCCTTACTAGACTGTTTCTCCTTCTAAGAAGTAGCTTGAGACAGGAAACCAGACAGCAGTCTGCTCTGATAAGGGAGAATATTGTCTAATGGAGGTGCCTCAAGAGCTTTTCTTTCTCTCTCTCTTAGGTTCAGTAAATGTAGAAGTAGAGGTTGAACAGGGTTTTATGGGTTTACATGGGCTCCATTTTTCCTTGGCAGAGAAGACATTTTCTTAATGAGCACTGCAAGAACTTTTTTGCCCCAAATTTTTACATAGAAGAAAGCCATTTCCAGGCATGTGTCTTCAAAGAGCCTGCAACAGTATTATCGTAAATTTAATGGAAATACTGATTAGTTGTCTACACAGCTGATAAATAATTATGTCAAAGCGGTTCTACGTCAAACAAAGTGATGTCAGCAAAGTGAGAATGCACAGGTTGTGCAGAAAAACATATTTTTCAGCCTGCTTGCAGTTCTGAAAGGAGCAAGGTAAAAGATTTTCAAGTCAATAAAAAGCAAAAATAGTCTGAAATACTGAATAACAGAATCCTATAGAAATACTCTTTTTCTTTGTACCTATCAAGTAAAATTTTCAGCAGAAAATTTTTGCCCAGTTACCATTTTCTTTTTGTACAATATCATAACTTTTTCAACAGTTATTGCCATTTCCTAGTGGAAATCCAGTGAATAAACAAACACAGAAGGCTGCTGATCAGTGAAACATTTTCTTGGTGTACTAGTTCTTCATGATTCTCCCCCTGCTCTGTTCTTCATGGGCTGACTGCTCTGGTCCCTTCCCCCGGCACCGTGTCTGGGCCTTTGTTCCTTCTGCTGCTCTTGCTTGCTTTGACTGAGTCCGACTGCTGTGCTGAGCTGGAGAGTTTCTTTGCCTGCTGCTATTTTGGGGCCCAGTGCAGTTCAGCGCTTGCTTACTTCCCAGTAAAGTTAATGGAACTCTAGAAACACTTTTTTGCTGACTCGGGTCTTAATGAGCAACTGGTACCGTAAGTGCGAAGACATCTTTTTACTATCCCTGGAAAACACTTTTTGTACCTTTCCAGGGAATCCTGCTCTCAGAAATTGGTTTTTCTCTGTCAGGCTCTCTTTTAAGGTTCAACTGAAGAAGACTTCTCACCCAGGTTCGGTAAACCTCCACACCCTTTGGATTTCATCAGTGGACAGTCTTCTGGTATTTCACTTCTCCTTAGTATCAGGGGAAGTTTGACTCAAGGCTCACTGGAGAAGTAACAGTTTCAGAGCAACAGCGTAAGGCCCAAAGGGCTTGGACTGAAGAGCTTTGGCCACATGACTTACGTTGGCTGCTAGATACCAACAGTGCTGCAAGAGCTGCAGTGTCTTTGCAGAGGGCACTCCTGCGGTGCTAATTTAGCAGATAGCATTACATTATTCTGTAATTATACCAACAATAGCAATCATACCTTGAACCTTCTAGACAAAGCCTCACTGTACCACGGGGCAGCATTCCTTGCTTCCCCCAGGCACAAAGATGGAGAAAGCCTGTATGCTTTCATGGAAGGTGATGAGAGGCAGAATTTATGGTCACCACCCCCATGTCCGCAACAAGAGTCAGGTCAACAATTGCTCTTCCAGGTATTTAATGAGAGCGAAGGCTCTATGTTAGAGGGAGGCTTTGTAGTTGTTGGATGTGCACAGTCAATACTGGCCCTCCACCCCACCCTTTTCTTTCATAACAGGTCTGCAGAGTTGGTGGACCTTGAAGGTAGATGTACAGAGCTGGTGGGAGTAGCTGCAATGCGGTCGCTCGTCTCCAGCTGCTCTGCAGTGCACATATGTAGTCCAGGTGCATTCTTTAACCACTTTGCTTGTTTCATCCAGGGTAAATAATCTGTACAAGTTCTTATTGTCAGAATACACATTAAGTACGTTTAAGCTTTCATTTACTCTTAATTATGACTGAAACAGTAAACCATACCTGTCAGGAAGTTAATATCCAGAAGTCTTCAATCCTGACAAGGTGATGAGCTCTACTGAGGATGAACTTCCCTTCTGGAAGGGGTACTTCGCTGCATATTGGATCATAAGGGCAGAGTTTGTTTTTTCTGGCTTGCTGTCTTCACTGGACTTCAGATAGGAAAATGCTGAGGGACTTTGCCTGGACTTTGCCTTGCACCTGTCCTTATTTGCATACAAAACCCAATTGCTTCATTTGTCTTTCTGAAGTACAGGGTGTGAGCAAAGTCTTATCAAGAGCCGTGTCCTGTTTGGACAAGTTGGACTGACTTGGCAGAGATCCACAGGGTGGAGTGAATGGGAGGAGGCAAGAAAGTAAAACTGGGTGGCTTGTTAGCAGAAAAAGAGAGGGAGAGCAAAAAAAAAGAGAGGGTGGAATGTTTGCCTACTGGATTGTAGTTAATTATTTAGTTTGAGATTACATACATTTTAAATTCTTTTAACCCACATGAAAAAAAAACATTAATGCAAAATAGTTTATCTAATAACATGAAAGACAAAGGCCCTTATTTTTTAATATGCTTCATATGAATATATTGTTGTCTCTTCACTGTTTTTCCCAGAGTACCTCAGGAATGAGAGACAGTATTTTGATTTTCCAGAAATTAGTTGTATTTACTAAACAATTTGTGGGCTTTCAAACATGTACGTTATTAAATCAGTGTGTAAAGCAGAACCCAACTGTTTTTTTCATTCCTCTGTGATAGAAACAGATAAGACTGTTTACCTTCCCTATTGCCTCCTTCTCAACTGAGAGTTCCAGAGTTTTTGAATTAATGGGCATGATTTTACCAGTAGACTGGGAAAAGCTACTGACTTCTTAGTAGAAGTAGCATGCTTTATTTGTGTGTGAATGTGCATGCACGGATTCGCTTGTGAGTGTGGTCCAGGCAATCAATTTGGAGCATTATTTTTAAATACAAAGAGATTTTTTTTGATTTGCATCCCTAGGAAAATGTCCTTCTGAGATAAATTTTAAATGCCAGACCCAAAGCTGGTTTATATTGACTCTAATAGCAGCTCTATCAGTTTCACCAAATAAGAATTTGATGCTCTGATATGCACTGACAGGACCAGGCATTATGTATTAATTAATTTTCCTTTCTTGAAAATTGGTTTCAATCACTATCAAATGGGGAAAAGAAACCTACTGCTTAAGAGTAACGTGATAAAGAGGTGCTCATTTTCTGTACTGTGATGCAGTAATAAAAGTAACGTTTTCCTGTGCTGTTCTTAGATGACTGCATCTGAGAAAGATTGAAAATTACTTTTCACTTTTGTCAGTGCAGTACACTTTCTGTTGTCTGTGTCAGTCTAATTCCTACACAGGAATTCAGAGCTCTCTCAGAAAACACTCAAATGTGTGGCATAACATATGAAATGTGTATCGAGTTTCTTTCATGTACTTTCTTGAAGCAAAAGGTGAAAAGGAATACGTCTTACACTGAAGAAAACCCAGTTTTGAAACAATAGCCTAGGAACATGATTGCTTGCTTAGAACAAAATCTTTCTTTCCTTCTCTTTCCTTCTCTTTCCTTCTCTTTCCGCTCCTCTCCCTCTCCCTCTCCCTCTCCCTCTCCCTCTCCCTCTCCCTCTCCCTCTCCTCTCCTTTCCTCTCCTCCTTTTTTTCTTTTTTTTTTTTCTTTTTCTCTCCTTCCTTCCTTCACTGAAGTACAGATTGATGGGTAACTTTATCTATGCGGATACAAACTAAAAATTGAAAGTTTCTGGAAACCTGAAAGGAAGATGTTCCAAATTCTTATGTATGAGGTCTGGGAGGCTACATTTTCTTTTAAACATTTTTATGCGTAAGACTGTAACTTTTTTCCTGTTTTCACAAAAGCATATATATGTGTGGGAATGTGTGCGAGTGATACATAGATACACATACCTATATTTAATGCATAGGTATGTGGATATATTTCTGGGAAGACAATCTTCTGAAACGTTAATTCTAGCTATGTGAAATGTTAAAAACCTGAAAAAGAACCATTTGAAGAAAAATAGTATAATTAATAACCTTCTCACAAGCATTCCTAAAGTATTTACAAAATTTTCACAACTTTTACAAATAGTGCCATCTTACACAACTGCTTCTAAAATAAAACTACATGTTAAGTTTAAACTGGAAATTAGGTGGAGCTGCTCTATTTGTTTCACTGTTTTTTTGTGATTTGTTTTGTCAGGCTTTTGACTTTTGTGAGAAGAATTATGAGGATACTTTAATTTGCTTTTGATAATTGTTTGTTTCCATTATTCAAAATGTACACTGTTGTAATGTGTTTCTGTAAGCCTTTAAACTTTATTCATAGACCTGAATAATTAATGATGGACTTGTAACAACTCATGCCATCTTTCTGTGGAAGCTCTTAAAGAATTTTTGTCTATAAACACACGTGATAGTTAATTACAAGATTGTTCATTAGTGTAGGCTTGTTAGAATTGTCTTCATTTGAGCAGGTACCTCTTAGAATTTTCATTTAAATTTCTGGGAGAATTTTCCAGCCACAACTACAAATCTGTTGCTGAGCTTTTAGCCTACTTCCGCAGGGTGAAATTGTCTGGGTGATGTGCTTGGCCGTATTCCTTTCTTTCTGGTGCCATCTACTGGTCAAAATTGAATTTGTGTAAATTTTTTTTGTCCTCAATAGAGGTCATAGCAGTTCCAGGCAGGGCTGTGAACTGTGCAGTGTATGGTCAGAACTTGCTCCTCTAACATCAGCCGTATAATGTATAACCTCAAGTGATTTATGAAAAGCTTGCCAACATCTACAAGTCATTGAGAACGACTTCCCTTTGCTTCTCTTGGTTTTACTCTGTAACCTTATGGCTTTGCCCAGAAGACTTATCTCCTCCTTTCCTTCACAGCATCTTTCCAAGTTGACCAAGGCAACTATGTAGAATGATAGTTAAATTATGACATGCTTTATGCTAAGTGCTTTTATTTCAGGCAGTTTGAGATAAGCTAGAATTGTACAAGTGAGGTTGAACACTCTGTAGAAAAACCAGAAGCTGCACAGAATACAACCAGATTTTTTGAAGTGCTTTTCTTTTGCACAGGTAGCACAAATTGATGTTGAATTGTCAGTAAATCTGTTATCTCAGGGAAATAACTGATGTATTTTTATGTTAAGTCATTGCAGCATGTTGAATGTACTTCTCCAAATTAGTCCTGGATTTAAACCCTTCTTTTGCATTGTTTTCAATGTTATTTACATGAAAGTTTCAACTTTTCTAATCAGGTCTGATACAAAAGATATCTTATCTCCAGAATCAGTTCACTTGTATAAACAAGATTGTTCTGAAGTTGTAATACTGATGAGGAATGCTTAGTCTAAACTGTGATGTGTTTACACCCTGACAGCTAATGGAAGTGACAGTTCTGTGATCTCAGTATGCTGACATGCACAATAAAAATTCAAATTAACTTTCATTAAAGTGAACAGATGTCCCTTTGTTTCAATAGCAATTGGGAAAGAATAAATTTACAATAAGAGAAATATTTAAATGATGCAGAGTCAAATGTTTAAGAAGATATGTTAGAAATGGATAAATATTCACATTAATCTGATGAAGTAGTAAGTTCTTTACAATTCAGAAAGTCGATTAGGGGATTTCTTGCAGCTTTCTAATGCCTTGTCTTGCCCCTGCAGGCCAGGACATCAGAGGCATCAGAACAGGTGAATAAAAAAAGATGCTAATGTTTGACCCAGTCCCTATCAAGCAAGAAGCCATGGAGCCTGTTTCAGTGGTAAGACTTTTAGCATCTGTTCTTGTGATGACTGTAGTTTTTCCAGCTTTAAATTCATACCAAGGTTTCTCTAAGCTTTGGACTACCTTAGGAAAGGCTGTGAAACTGTATTTCCCTCTTAGGGCAATCAAATTCACATTCTAGGAAAATGTTTTCTGTGTCCCTAAATGACCTACCCCATTACCTCTGGTGGTGCTCCCATACCCAGACCAGAGGAGACTCAGCCACTGCAGTGCAAATACGGTCTCTGTAGCTTATGCTGCTGATGGGGTGGGTTGAAATGAAGTTGCCAGACTTCACATGAAGTGGCAAGGGCCTCTGGTTTCAATATTACACCTTTGAACTAAATGTTTCTCTTTCTCTCTTGGTCCTGACAACCTGTGCCTGGGGCTAACTTGCTCTCTAACAGCATTTTGCTGGTGAGCTGGGTACATTACCTTGCCACGAGAACAGATGAGAATCAGGGCAGTGGAGGAGGAATGGGAAATAAAGGGGAAGGGGAGACTTTTCAGTTGGATTAATCTTCCATCAACTTTGGTGCATGGGATCATCTCAGAGAAGAGTCCAATATGCAAGAGCAGCAGGAACGTGTAGCTGGGAGGGGGACAGTGGGAATTGTGATGATTTAGGCTGCCAGGGAAATACAACCTTAGGAAGCAGTTTTGTGTATACTTCACCTAGTCAACTTGCAGGCTGCTGCTGAAAGGAAAGGTTCAGGCTTTTCTCCCTCCTTTCCAGCTTTGTGTCTCCTTTATATGACATGAAACAATTGTGAGGCCACAGAACGATTTGGATCCTTTGGATCAGCTCATTGAATGGTCAGAATTGCTACCCCACCAAAAATACCCTTATTTTTTGGTCAGATCAGGAAGCTGATCTGACTCATTCTGTGCAGCTGCTCAATGCTAGAGCAAGTGGAAAGGGGAGGACAAGGGAACGGGACCTCCCCTTTCAGCAGTAGCCTGCAATAAGGTCAGATTAAGTGCAATGTGAAACCACACCCCTAGAAAGGCTGATCGGTTAAAAGGGTGAAGTCAATGTGCATAAGTTAGAGTGCATTAAACTCGTGCTCTGAATGGCATCTTTCAGGGAAAAGTTTGTTTCCTCTTTTATTTAAAATGTAGAATAGTTGTCATCAATTTAAATGTGTTTGTAAGCAGTCTGATTTTTTCAGTGCTATTAATAACACTTTTTGAGAGTTAAGTTTTATGCACTTTAAAATTACAGCTTTACTTTCATGGGATTTGTTTACTTGAGAGCAATGATAGAAAAATAAGTGATCTATCACTGAGAGTGTAAGGATGGCTACTTCCAATGTTTGTGTCAAGAAAGAATCTTATTATTGGCCAGTCTGTCTGTCACTTCAATCACAATTATTGCATGACCTTACTAAGATTAGTGGTGATTCTGTACAATTATCTAGGGATATCTAATGGTGCCCATCAAAGGTGGAAAATGGGCCACTTTTACAATAAAAGTGTCATTACACGAATAACAAAATTGGTATAGAGACATTGTGGGTTGTCTTTTGTACACATTTGCCTTCATCTCCGAAAGAGGGTTGTGCAGTGGCTTGGGATGATGCACATGAGAGACACAAGATCCTGCCCCAGACAGCTGGTGCTCTGCAAGATGGTCAGGGTTGGTCCCTCAACAGGCTGACCGGGAGAGGAGTGAGCAGTCTTCCCCAGACCAGCAGATGAGGGGAAAACTGCAGTGGGAAGAGCAAGGGAGCATTTCTGAGCCAAGTATTTTTCAAGGCTGTAGGTCCAAATGTTGCTCGTTCTATACCATGTGCTCCTTGTAGAGGTGTGGTACCTTCCATGACATCTGGAGTCATCTTGGGTGTTCTTATAACTAGCCATTAGAGACTATTCAGAGCATTTTACCATGTTCCATATGCTTTCCTTTTCGTTACTGCATAATGGGGGGGGGGGGGGAAAGTAAGTGGCAGGAAAGAAAAAGCAGAAAATCCAGAGGAAAGGACATTTTTTGAGCGAGGTTCCGCTCATGGAGGTTACTCTGATTTCCCTCAGACTGAATGTGTGTGTTTCAGCTTCTGTACACACGCAGGCTGTTTAGCCCCAAGCCCTTGAGATCCTGACTGTCCCAGCCCTTCTTGGGTTTGTGGCTTCCTTGGAGCCCTGCTGCCACACTCCCCAGCAGAAACTACTTTGGAGATACCTCTAAAGGGAGGAATCGTGGTGTGGAGAGAATATAGGAAGGGATAGAAGCCCCTGAGTGTGTTAGTTTTCTTGACATTCTTTTGAGGAGGTGGAAGGAAAGCGAAACTGTTAGTGTGATGTTTTAGAAGTACTAAGCATAGCATTCAGTTCACTGCAGGCTGACATAACATAATCTAAAACCGGAATTTATTTGTATTGTATCTTTCATTCTGATAGTATCATTAGAGGCCAAACTAAATTAATCTCCTTGGGAATTATTCATTATTTTACCTGAACATACACTGCCCATAGGTATAAAGTCTGTCTTTAAAAAATCCTCTTAGTTGGGGTGGGAGAATGAAACAAGTTGTGGTTTTGACACCACTGTATTTCAGGGTGTGTGGCTGAAAGGATTAACTATACTTCTCAGATGACTGAAGCTTGCACCCACAGTATTTCATCACTTTGCCAACAGCTCATGCTATTTGTTGAATTCAATTATCAACCACATTTTTTGATGGTTCTTAACGAACTAGTGGCAAAGTCATCTGAAGCCTACCTAAATATTTGCTGCAAGGACTTTTTAAACATTCAGACAAATACCGGTTAGCATTTAGTGAAGTAAGTTGCTTTTTTGTGTGTTACCATCTTTCTTTGAATTGAAATAAACAGGTTTTTTCTGCCCTTCCATCAGTCCAAAAACTACTTGTTTCACCTGTTTTTAAAGATAGCTGTGTGCTACATGAGGGGTTGAGGTCTTCAGTAGTGTACTGTACTACAAATTTCATGTGGTGAGAATGCTTTTTCAGGTGTTAGCTACTATTTGGATTAAATCGTGTTCATCCCTTTACGTGATACTGATTTGACAAATACTGTAAGTAGGTAAGCAGGTTCTTCATCTGTTTCTGTTTTTCCAAGAGGCTGGCTAAATTTTAAAGTTAAATTCATAGGGTTATATAGTTCGTGAAAGAGTTGGTGAATTGCTTCATAATCTGTTCGCCTGTACAACAAAGAAGCTTCACTGTGGCAATATAACAGCACTTATGAAATTATATCAGATTAGTGCTTGATAATGTCCCCTTGTGGAAGCAGCAGCTTTCTGGATAGTGATAGGTGGGCTTGTGATGTATTTGGCCATTTTTTATTCTTGATAGATTGGCAAGAGGAAAAGCATGGTGAATCTTTTTATTTATTTAATTAATTGAGTAACTGTATGAGCCACATGGATATGACTCAAAAATATTAGAAGTTCCTTTGATTTATTTTCCAGTTTCTTTGTGGCTTTAGTGCTCTGGGTTTTACTGTGGACAAACAGTAAGGTGCAAAGAGGGAAAGCAATGATACCAAACATAAAAAAGAGCTAGAAGAAGACTGGAAAGGAATGTATGTTGAAATACAATCCTGCATTTTATAGTGATCTACTATAGCAACACACCGTTCTGCACAGGGATGTTTAGGAAAGCAGAATTTACAGGAACTTGGGAATTTGGTGGGATTTTTTCAATCAAAGTCAGACCAAGCTCCTCCATACACTGTTAATTCCCACAGTAGAAATACAAGGAAAACCTACCAGCTTAAATATTTTAGGCAAACAGAACAGTGATAACTAATTTTCCATCGTCCCACCAGAGTACTTCACGTAAGTTCTAGGACAGGTGAGAAAAGACTGCTCTTGCAGGCTATGAAGTACACTCCTGCCTCCTGCAATTGGTGGCATTTAGAAAACCAAACAGAGGTACTTGGGCTTTTTTTTTGTTTGCTATTGTCAATGGTCCCTATTTACAGAGAGAGGCTGTAATGGCAATTGCTGTGTGCCAGGGAGCTAGAAACTGGCACTTTGCTGTGCTAAAAGACACAGGAAGCTTAACTTCAGAGCCAGGAGATAGACCTGAGCGTGGCTTACTCCAGCTGAACAGTGTTTCAACCACACTTCATTGATAGTGAAGCAAAACTGTTTTCTGCCAGAGTGTCCGATTGACAGCAGATATTCTTTTCATTGTTCTAGCGGCCATCTCAACTTTCTCACCCTTTTTCTTCCCAGATAATTTGTTTTTCTGTCACATTTTTCTATCACAACTTTATCTGCAGATCAGATAGAAACATAGCAACTAAATTTGCAGAAGGAAGAAAAGTTTGGAAAAATGATTCAGCATCCCCAAACCACCAGAAAAAATAGCTAATGTTTAATCTGTGCCAGCTTAATTACAACAATTAAAACCTTCTATGCAAAATAATTCAAGGCATATGGGATAAAACACCAAGTCCCTAAAATAGTCACTTTGTAAAAACATCATTATTTTCTTCCTAATTCTTGGAAAGTATTTTTTGCTTGTCTAAGTATATTTTTTTATATATATCTAAATAAACTTTTGTAGTTTACAGTTCTCTGGACAACATTTTAATAGCTTGGTATTTTTTTCAACACACACCTGGTGTTACTTGATGAGTTGAAAGAGGATAACTGTTTATATAGAAAGGTTACAGCTTGGAGATGCTTCATTCTTTAATAGACTTGTTGACCAAAAACATTCCGTAAGATTTAAATTGTGTAGTCCTTTTCCTTTCCAATATTCTTGCAAGGGAAGAAATATTCGTAGGTAGTAATCTTGTGATTATCCCTGACAAGCCTGCACACTGTAAATGCACTGACATTTAGTGGTGGAACATTTACAGTTTGTTGAAGCTGAGTAGGCTTTATACTGCAAACCAATAACAACAATTTTAACAGAAGTACTTAATGTCTCTTACGTGTTTAAATTTTGAATTTTTGCCTATGCCCATAACTTGATCAGATTTGGTAGATATTAAATACTGTTAAAAAGTAAACTATCAATATTCAGTGGCTTTCATCGCTTAGAATGCTAGTAATTTTGTTGCTTGGCTCAGCAGCAGTAGCAAATCTGTAGAACTTGTTTCAGCCAGCACTTCTTGCAATAATGGCATTTTAGTAGAATTCTGAGGAACCAATTACCATCAAAGATGAATGGTTTTATAGATAGAGTTTGTAAGAATAGTCATAAAGAGAATAAATAAAGTTTCAGGGGTTTTAATGTAATACTTGCTGTTTGAAGATTAATCAGCATTGTGTATGCTGCTTTATTCGAGTATTCTATGGAATAGATGACTCAGCTTTGTTGTTTTATCACAGTGCTATGAATGCAGCAGGAAAATGTAATGTTTTCTAAACTCATTGTTTCAAACAGTAACTGAAAAGGAGAAAATACATTTGTGTCATTTTGCAAAAATACTTTTAGTTAATGTTGACATTTAAAATCAGCTAACTGACCCTCACAGGGAAGACAGTAAGAGGTAAGAAACCAGGAAGATCATAGAATCAGAGAAGGGTTTGGGTTGGAAGGGACCTTCAAGACCATCTGGTTCCAACCCCCCTTCCATGGGCAGGGACCCCTTCCACTACACCAGGTTGCTCAAAGCCCCATCCAAACTGGCCTTAAACACTTCCAGGGAGGGGGCAACCACAGCTTCTCTGTGCCAGGGTATTTTCATCTCTCAGGGTGAAACCCTTGAAACCCTTCCTGCCTTTACAAAGGATTCAGAGCAGAGAAGGAGCTGCCATGGGAGGGCCTGTAGAAAGGGGTCATTTCCCATTCCTCCTTCTCGCCTGCTTCTGATGGAGCTCTCTGCAGATAGCTGACTGCTCTTAAGGCCTACTGGAAGATGTTTTGCTAGAAGTTTTCACCCCAGGAAAAAGCCAGTTGCGATGTCATGGAAATTACTATATAAAAGTACAATAGTTTGATCTTCTAATCTGTTTCAGTTTCTACCATTTTGAACGTTTTTTTAAATCCCACTCATCAAAGTCCTTTTGGTGCCAAAGAATTCAGTGAATTTTTAGTATTAATTTAAACTGCTTAGCCTTACTGTGAAGCTTTACTTACCTAGAATCCAAAGATAGCATTTTATTTCAAAAAATGTACAACATCTAAGGGCTAAAACATTGCATTTTCTGCCTCTGTCTGCTATGTTAGAACAGCTCATTGGTTTCCATTGTAAGTTACCTGATAGTAAACAACCTCAGTTTTCAACACTTTGTGAATGCAAAATTGATCCGGATAGTTGTTTACTGAGACTTTACTCTGCAATGAATGTTAATACTTCTTGGTTTACAAAAAATATTTCCACTAAAATGTGGAGATCATCACATAGGTCAAGATTAACTTTGGGGGTTACATGATCTTGTAATGAGAACTGCTAGCTGCTAACAGGAGTATTCTTCTAACATGCCAAATGTTTATCCTTATACTAGTTCTCCAAAATCAGACTAGCTAGTTAGCTGCTTTATTTCTCAAGGAAAAAAAAAAAGGGTTAGAATTTACCTTTTGCACTCTTGAGTTTCTCGCCCATTGGTTGTATAGTTCAGCTGTGTATTTTTTTATTGCTTGTAGGGTTCAGATATATAATTTCTTGCTTTAGTGATGATTGTTTTCCAATTACTTAAGCAGTTGATTGGGACCCATTACTTGCAATTTCAAGTCCAATTTAACTCCCCTCTTGCTTGACTTCATGATTCTCAGTATATAGTTGTATGCCGGGCATAGCACCATGTATCTCCCAGGTCAGTTAAGTAATGTGCAGCTTAGTATAAGAAAAGCAGTTTTGAAGGGAGAAAAAGAGTTGGATAAGCCTTGAGGATTTGTTTTCATCATCTGTTTCACATTGCTTCTGAAACAGTTAGTGAATCAGTACTTGAATAACTTCCTTTTGTGAAATCTTAGGCTTTATTTAATTCAGTTTTATTTAAAAAGTATATTAAAGTGCTTTCTTGAAATGTTTTCATTTTGCCTCAGTTTTATTAGCTGCCTTTCTTTTTCAGCAGTAATTGTGTGTGTGTTGATTTATTATCTGATTTTCTTTCTTTTTTTTCCACTCCTTCTGACAGTCATACCCGTCCAATTACATGGACCAAATGAAGCCAAACAAATACAGCGTCATTTACTCTACACCGAGTATGTTGCACAATAAATTCTACTCAAACCCCGAAGGACTATCAAATGGAATCCAGATGGAGCCCGTAGACCTTACAGTGAATAAACGGAGCTCACCACCTTCAACTGGAAGTTCTCCTTCCCCCCTAAAATTTCAGACTGTGCACAGGAGAACTTCACCTGGATTGACTCTGTCCTCACCCAGCTCACCTCTCAGTAAATTCACACCGTCACCCCCAGGAGTACAGCCTATTTCCATGCCAATAACAATCCCACCTGTAATGGCCGCTGCTCTTTCACGGCACGGACTGAGAAGCCCTGGAATACTCCCAGTTATACAGCCTGTTGTGGTCCAGCCAGTTCCTTTTATGTATGCTCCCCATCTTCAGCAGCCCATCATGGTGTCCACAGTTCTTGCAGATGAGATGGAAACTCCAAGTAGCATGCAAGGTAGGTGTTGTCAGAGTTTCTTTTTTATGCCATTTCATCCTAGGAGAATAACTGTATATCCAAGCACTTTTTGGTGAGTTTTTCACATTTTAGGAAATGGAATTCCTGTTCTTCTAAAACATGCAGGCATAGAATTCACTGTGTAAATATTTTGCCAAACTTACCAAGGTCATATTCAGTTCTGATTTCTACCTGCATAAAGCTGTTTATCTACTGAGATTTGGACAGATAAAAATGTTGGACTTATGAAAATGAATAGAAGTTTTTTGAATCATAGTTCGCCAGCAGATAGACTAAAACTGGAAGATTCTGTATTTTAGCATAAATCATTGCACTAAATGCAGAGCTGGAGGATTTATTTCATTTTAACTACAGTTTTCTATGTATATTTTTTTATTTCCATAACTCTACATATTTTTGATGTGTTGCCTTCCCTCTCCTACCCTCGCCCATACAGTGCCTGTCATTGAATCGTATGAGAAGTCTACACTGAAGAAATCAATCAAAGTAGAGCCAGGAAGTGAACCATTAAAGACTGACTTCTATCCTGAACAAATGTCACCTCCAATGATGACCTCATTGTCTCCTCAGCAAGTAATGGTGCAAGAGTAAGTAGCTAACAGTAGACCCAAGATCAGCAGCAGTATGTAAAGCAGTTCATTGCAGCAGTTACCGATTTTGAGGAGTGGGAGGGAGTGTTGATGTGCTTTAGAAGATGTGATAAAATACAAGAAAACATCCTTCCCCCCTGCTATTGTGAAATGTGATTTCAACTTTTTTTTTCCCTCTTTAGCAATATAGGAGGCCATACATATTTATACATCACAACCACACAGATCTGCCATATATATAATGAATTTCTAAAGTAATGCTAGTCCCAATCCCAATAAGCCAGCGATACCTGTTTATATAAAAACTAGCAGCAAACTGGAAAGATACTGTAAAGACATTTCATACTCATGTCTGTATTTCTGTTACCTAAAATACCTTCCTTTAAAAAGATTCTTGTGACTCTCTTTTCTTGGAGGTCCTGTCTTTTAAAAAATTTTGGCTACTCGGTGGAAAGAACCCCCTCAGGCCTACGAGTTCTGCATATATCTAGTGAAATTCCATGTTTACCTGAGGCCACTGTTCCTTGGGTGGTTTTTTTTGGCAGCTCAAGTAATTCCTGAAGCTCACTCTCCTCCCAGCCACTTGTTTCCACCCCACTACTAGCTCATTGTGCTGGTACAACTGTTACTGGGGCCAGTGCATGAACTGGATCACAGATCTAATTTGTTTTAAAACAGTCCTGTTTGCAGAGGGCAGAGCAAGGGCTAGAAAGAAGTGAGGTCTGGGGCAGAAACTTTTTAATTGGAGATACTAAAAATTTCTCAGGAAGTACCTGAGGAGCTATGGGCACCCTTCCATTTCCTGTTTTCATAGGGAAAATTCTGACAACCTACCAGAAAATGGAATGGCCCCAGAGCCAGGTTTGTCCTTCAGTGCTCTGGGCAGTCATGCAGGCTGCCGGCGTGGCTCTAGCAGGAGGTGGAGTATGGGAACTGAGATGGGCTCATGGTACATGACCTCAGAATCCGTTTCTGCCCTTTCTTCATGCTCACCATCACACTCAGGAGTGGTTGTACGAGTCCTCACCTTCTGGAGTGGGGAAAAAGAGCTCCAAGCCAGAGTACCAAAACCAGTGTGTGAGTGCAGGGTGATTCAGAAAGAGAGCAAAAGCATGAGACTGGTAGTCTCCTGCATTCCCTTCAGAAGGCAGCCTCTTCCCTGCTTATGACTGTTCCCAGGTTAGAAGGCACTCCACAGCTCCAGGGCTAGCTGTATTAGGCACAGCCTTCTTGTGGGGCACCCCTCCTCATTTTCAAGTCTCTAACTTAGATGCTCTCTAAGCTTCGATGCAGCTTCTAGACTGAAGGCTTTTTGCAATTAACTAGTTGTCAGCTAGCTTTTTAAACTATATGCTGTTTATTTAAAAATAACCTTATATGTTCTATTATAATAAACATATAATAAAATAGTAAACATCTGTGTTTACCAGGTGGTTACTTATCCTCCATAATGGACCTGCCACACAAGGGAGTGAGGTCTGTGTGTGTATTTGGAACTAACTTCTGCTAGGTCAGGACTACCAAACGGTTCAGTTTACTTTTGTTCTTTGTTAGGCCTCTGTAACAAGAGCAAACCAGTAAGTGCTGTTCTTGGCTGATACCCCACCCTTCCTCCAGGGCTGAAACTTCTGCAGATTTGTCACCTGCATTAGTGATTTGCATTAATTATTTCCCAATGAGTCCGGTTTCCACAGGAAACCCATCCGCTGAGCAAAGAATATAAAATGTGATGTAATGTGTAGGTAGTGTTGTTACAAAAAACCATTTGAATAGTCCATGTTTCCAAAGCATCTCCTCTGCTTGCCCATGCACAGCGTTATGTTTATGGAGGCCCTGACCTCGTGGTGTGATGGCTTACAGGCCTTCCTAGCTGTCTGGTAGAGCTGCAGTTCTTGCTCATGCCTAAAGCCAGCCCTTTCAAGTTACATTCTCCCGTATCTGCAACAAGGAGTCTGTAAATGGTAGTTTTTATATTTTTATCATTTAAAAAATACATAGACAAATCACACAAATTACAAGATGAAAGACCTAGGCCTTTATAAAATTTCCTGTTGTGTCACAGCTTCATCAGCCTCTCTCTGCATTATGAGCTACAGTTAGGCAATGTTTTTTTGTCATTTTTCATAGGTTCGAACTGCCCGAACTCCTCTATTCAGACACGTAAGCTACATTAAAGGGGCATAGGAAACCTTCAGTCTCACTTTTAAGTGACCGATTTTGCTTTACCGTTAGTTTTTGGCATACACATTATATATATATAATGTTGGAGGCATTTCTGTAGGGATGCTGGACTTTCTAGTATGTCTGATAATTGACATAACTATACTGTTATTTCTAAAATCAAACTTGAGGTAATAATTTCTGAACAAATATGAGAAGCCTCATTAACGTTTTATTTACTTGCGAGTGCAAGTGTCAAAAGTCTTAACTCATGCTGTCAGCATAGTGTAGTCTGTTGGTAAAGAATGAGAAAAAGCTGTTGAAATTGTAACATGATTTTTGGAAAATGCTCTTATCTATTAAAGAATGACACTTAAAGGGTTAGACTTACATGAATTTGTGTCTGGTTGTGTAAGAAGGAATGAAACAATTAGGGTTGTGCTTTTATTATTGGCACTTACATAATACTTACTTCTGATTTTTGACACCGCCTTAACCATTTTTTAAAACTGCCACACCCTATCTGATTATTGATAACATTCTGTAGTCTTGCCAGCCTCCTTTCCTCTAAAGGGAAAATGAGAGAGACAAATTCTCAGCGCTTTTTTACATACTCTTAGATTGAAAACCATCACAAATGGTGTACAGCTGATGTCCTTTTTCTCCCTTTTGCCAGATGTTAACCATGTCCAGGACTAGCCTCCACGCATAGGGATTCAAACCAGGTTTGCTTGCTGTCCTACACCAGAGCTTCTCCAAAAAAACCAGTATGCAGCAGTGTTAGAACTGAGCGTTGCTTTAGAGAAGCATTTCTTTGGAAGCTAAAAGCCTGCTTTTCTTATTTGAGAGTATGTATGTCTGCATCTGACTTCACCATCTGGGGTTTCCTGCCATTACAATATTTTTGGCTAGATTTAATGCGTGTACTTGAAGAGTACATCACTCAGCAGTCACAGAAACACCCAGAAAGATAATTTGGCTCACAATTTTAAGCTTATAACTCTTAATAAAAGAATTAATAACAGAATTAAACTTTTCCCACATTGGTAATTCCTGTCCTGCTGCTGTAGAGAGTAATAAAATTTTTTTTTCTTGTAAATCACAGACAAGATTTTCTGTCTTCAGCACATGTGCTTTATTTTGCTCAGAGAAGTAGGTATTCAGTGTTCCTGAAAATTAGGCACTAAAGGAACTTGGTTTAAGTAACTAATATAACCTAATGTTATAAAACATCATTCAATCAGTAAAGAAATGTGAAATAAGGTAATGGAAAAGATGAGGGTTCTAGTGAGTTTGTTTCTGTCACATGGAAGAGCTGGTTTTGCAACAAGGAATGCTAGTATCATAATATACTAAGTTTCAGGTAAAACCTAAAAAATATGTTAAAAACACTGATAGAGATCTGCTAAGTGCAGCCTTGTGAGGTTGCAAGATATGTAATGCCACTTAGCTTTTTGACAAACATTCTTATCTTTCCTTTTCTAACATTGACATGGAAAAAGGAATCAAGGCTGTCCTCAGTTCCACAGTAGAGGTGTTGTTCAGACCTAAATATCCACAGACAACGACACCTTTCAAGAAGCTGAATGTGCTTTCACAGGCGTGAATGTTTATGGCTTCGTTTGTTACGGTAGTCCATGTGTAGTTAGTACATGTCTTACCTGCACTGTACCTGTGGTCTTCAAAAGCAAAAAATGATGTTTATGAAGGTGGAGGGACAACTTCAGACATCCTGTGGGTGTGCCACACAGGCTAAACTCTGCTTTTAGGAATTGACGTCAGTGGTACAGGGAGGCCGCACCCTCCTGCCAGCACCAAACAGGAAATTCTTAATTATTCTCTAAAGGAGTGGCTGGAACAATAAAGATTGAGTTCTGCTTTGAAACCCTAAAGATACAATGTCTTTAATATATGGAATAGCTGTTTCCAATTACAAGCAAATTAGTTACATTTGAAGGAAAAATTGTGAATAAATAGAAGAAAAGTTCACTATGAACTCAAGAGTTTGAGAAATCCGAGTTTGACTGAAAAACAGGAATTTGAAGGGGGTTTTTCCTTTGTAAGTTTAAAAAAAGCTAGGGAGTAGTAAAAATGGCTACATCATGCCACAAAGTGAGTAAACATTTAAAAATATTACTGCTAGAATGCATGAAATTTGCTAAACCCTCTTGAATTTTTCGACATGCATGTAATGTTGTTCTTTCTGCCAAGAGACAGAGCAGTAGTGAATAAAGGGCTCTGTCATGGATCATATTAGCTGAGGTTTGCTGTGCTAAATATTTTTCATTTTTAACATTCAGTTTGACTTTGCAGGAATCACCCTTCAGTTATAGTTCAGCCAGGAAAGAGACCTTTACCTGTGGAATCTCCAGACACGCAAAGAAAACGCAGAATACATCGATGTGATTATGAAGGCTGCAACAAAGTCTACACTAAAAGCTCCCATCTGAAAGCTCACAGAAGAACCCATACAGGTTTGAGCATTGCTGTGCTTTTCTTCCATCAAGTCTGTGGTAAAATAGTAGACTGAGTTTGTAGTTTGTGCTGATGGCCAGGTGACCGCAGGTGTAAATAACAAAATGGCAACAGTTCGGTCTGGCATTGTTCTGAATAGAACTATAGGCTGAGCAAAAGACAGAGGATGTAGCAGGAAAAATCCGCAACACGAGACTGTAAGCCAAAGCAGGATCACGATGTGTGCTGGTAGGCTTTACATTCACTGTCTCTTTGCTTGTTTTCTGTCCAGTTGCTTGCAGATTACTCATTCTGCACACCCTGTAAACACCAAATCAGTTTGAATTGCACTACCTCACCTCTTACATCACTGTTAAATCTGACTGAGACTTCCATGGGAGTAACCCATTTGCAGAAGTCTGGAGTGTGTGCCAGATACAAACACATCTGCTTCGTGTGGCCATGCTAATCACTGGTCCGATAGTGCTGTTTCTGAGTGAGTGTTCCGGAAAACATATCCTCATCTCTGTTCTCCCCACAAATGTTCGTCTTGGCGTGCTGAATGAGTGTATGCACATCCAGAGTTTTTACACAGATATGGGACGTTTTTAGGTAAAGTGGAGCCCAGTTCATGTCTGTCTTACATCGAGCCAGCCCTTTACCTGGGGGGTAAGGAGAAGGAGGATCACATATTAGAAAGTAATGATTGAGGGAGACTTTAAATTGAGCTACTTGTGACAGTGGTGCCAGTTATTGATACTACAGTGACTTCAAGAGGTCACAACAAGATTTCTGCCTGCTGTGCTGAGTGGTAGCACCAGTCCTTTCCCCCAGCTAATCTAGAATACGAGGTCTTGGTTTTGAAAATACTTGAACGAATGTTTAAGCCTTCACACTTCTGGGCTTGATGAGACAAAACAAGTGCTAATATGGCAGAGGGAGGAACAGAGACAATAAAAAAATAAGTTGTGGCAGGAAACAATTTTTTGATCTGTTAACTTTGACTGCACAGTTTCTAGCGCTGAGTACTCTGCAGCCCGGTGCTGTTTGGAGGCTTTTTGAGTAAGCAATGAAGTACTTGCTGACATTTGAGAAGGCAAGAGGATGAATCTGTCAGATATGTAACTGATGTGTTTGTGTCTTAAATCCTCACTTCTCTGTTTCTTTTTGCAGGTGAAAAACCGTACAAATGCACCTGGGAGGGATGCACGTGGAAGTTTGCTCGTTCTGATGAACTCACGCGGCATTTCCGCAAGCATACAGGAATCAAACCCTTTCAGTGTCCAGACTGTGACCGTAGCTTTTCGCGTTCGGACCATCTTGCTCTTCACAGGAAACGCCACATGCTAGTCTGAATGTCTTCTGTCCCTGACTCCTGTCACGCTTCCTTTTTTTTTTTTTTTTACACATGCATTTTAATTTGGATTCAGCTGGTCTGAGTCTCTGAGTTTATACCATTAAAAGCTTACGTATGGTCAGTAACAGATGTTATCTAACCCTTCTATGTCCTTGCCACGGGTCAGACCTAAAGAATGTGAACACTTATTTTTTTTCCTCCTGGGGGTGCTAAGCAAACCCTTTCTGCAGACAGTATGTTTAATGTATTCCATTGTGAATAAGGGAATTTGTAAACTAACGCTTTTGTTGGTTTCCTCATATAATCAACCCAGCATATACTGATAAAGTAGTAAGTGTTACTGAATATCCAAAATGCTAGTCCTTGCCAGAGACTTATGTGCCCTGTAAGGGATACGCTCTCATTTTATGCTCAACAATGCAATGAATGGACTCTCCCGACTGTGTTGATTTCTGCAGTGTGGTTAATACAACAGTTTTTGAAAGACGCCTGATATAGAAATCCCCTCAGCCCAAACAGTGAATAACACTGTAGAAATAAATCTAAGCAATATAATTACTTTACAGAAAGATTGAGTCGTAATATCATTTACCCCAGTCAAGAAGAAAAATTGGCAGGAATTGGTCCATGCATAATACTGTGCATCTAAACCAATGTCGTCTGTCCTCTGTATTATAGTGTAGTGTATATCCTTGGTTTTATTGCATAATGCCCTGGTGGATTTGTTAAATGAAGACCTTGTGTGACACTGTATGTCTGGTTTCTGTGCAAGTGTATGAGTGGAACACACACGGTACTCTCCTGTGACATGGCATTAAATGATACTCGTAGAAACCTACCACACCTCATTTCAGGGATATAGACTATCCCTCTACAATCACTCCCCTACATTTCCTCTAAATCATTTTTTTCTCTTTGCTGTACCTCAGAAAATAGCAATCATTCTGTCAAGTTCTCCGAACTGTATGGTTGTGCCACTTTAATACACTACGGTATTTAAAATTACTAATCCACAATATTTTTATAAGATGGCATCAGATATGAAGCGCTCTGATGATAAATCGGGTTATGTATCTGGTTTGGATAAAAACATATACCAAATCATCCATTTGATAACTCTGATTTGTGACTATGATAGTCTCTCAGTGTTAAGTAGACTAAACTTTCCTGCAGATGTGTCTATGGCATTAAAAAGTCACACCAGAAAGTCCTAATTCCCATGTCGGTCAGGAAGCACAACTCCGTAGATAAAACAAACGGAATTCAAGCAACCTGCAGTTGACCCTAGAAGCGTTGCTGTCTCTGGAAGCCTGCTGAAAGGCAGGTTTCTGTCGTTACTAGCTGGCAGATTTTGTGGCACTGCAAGGAAGCGGGATGTGTTTCTCCAGGCTCTTGTGCAGCATCTTGCACAGCAGTGCATTCTTCTTTCCCCTGCATCAGGTAAACACCATTCCCTGAAATTTAAATGTACTGAAGTCAGATTTTTGTTTCTCTCGGAAAAACCGACTGGAAAATGGAAGGGTGAAGGGAGGAGGAGTTTTCATAAAACTCTCCAGGAGGAGGCAGGTGGAGTGTCCATCTGCAGGTGGGTATATTTGAGCTTATGGAGCAGGTAGGCTGTCCTTCGATGTCCTGTGGAGTCCAACAGCAAACTGAAAAAATCAGCAGGTGGGAGAGTTTGAGTGCAAAGAGCTTTCCCTTGGTGATGGGAGTTCACCAGCTATGCTGCTGACATCCACATCCCCGTAGAATTAGAGAAGGAGAGGATCTGTACTTCTTGGAGAAAAATGCTGCTACAGCGACTGCTGTGAAGTACAAAGTATTGTTCAGTTGTTTAACACTTCTTAGATGTGGGGATACAGAACCAGCGATTTTATTTAAGAACACGTGCTCCACAAAGGGGAGAACGGGGGTTTGCAAAGCGGGGCTGGGAGTGTTGCAAAGCTTTTGTGAGGAAGATCAGTATGCTCTGTTGGAGCACCGTATGTCCTCGCCAGCTCGCTAGGACTGAGGGAAGTTGCACTGGATCTATCTTGTAGCTGGCCCTAATCTGCTTAACTATGGAGCTGGAAAACCTGGGAGATGACTTGGGCTTTTTTTGATTGCCTGGGTTGTTACTCACTTTGAGGAACTTGCAGGAAAGAGGATGATACTAACAAGCAGCTGTCTAGAATGGGGATTTTTGTTGGGTATTTTTATTGTCAGTGGTAGCGGAATTGGCCTCCTTCATCAGGCTCTAGGTTTCAATGGCAGCTCCAGAAATGCGGACACATTGCTGACCGAGAGACCGTGTGGTGCCCCTGTAGCATCAGTCACAAGGCTACAGGTATTTAGTATCCTGGGATGAAAACAATTCTGTACTATATTCTAGGGAAAAAAGCAGATGAGATCCTATAAAAATAAGCAGCTTAGTGGCAATTGGTCCCATTTTTAGCTTAACGAATGCAAACGCATAAAATTTGAGATGTTTAAGCATTTCTTCCCAATGCTGTGTTTCTCTTTAAGGCTTTCAAGGGTTTCACAAAATGTTTTCTTTAATATTTTCTTCTGTTTTTTTTTTTTTTTTTTAATTAGAAATGTAAAATCAAGTACCCTAAAAGCAGAACTTCTCTGTAACTAAGAGTTACTCTGGAGAATTTAATCTAGGTTATTTACCATGTTCATTCATTAGCCTATGTACCTTTTTCCTGAAAATATTTATGCTATGAGGACAAATACAGTGGAGATTCGATAGAACTTTAAAATATCTTTACCCATGTGCCTTGTGATTTAGGACAACAGAAATTTAAATATTAAATATAAATAACTTGAGATTATTTTATGTAAATGCCACGTTTATAGAATTTTTCACTTATGTCTGTGGTGTCTTTCTGTAGGACGTCAAAAAAGTAACAGATACGCTTTCACTTTTCAGCTGAAAATGCCGGTCTTAACTGGCTCATTGATTCATTTTAGCAAACTTTGATTTGAGGGGTATCTTGTAATTTTTAAATACACACGACTAAACACTTCTTAAAGCCAGTCCTTCCATCTTTGCCCTAAAGAGAAGACAGTTTAGACATAAAGATGGAAAACACTAATCCTGCAGAACGTGTATATTTTAAAAAAACCCACATTTTTCCCTACCAGTATTGCACTGTTTTACTAAAATGTGCTTAAGTCATTTGATTATAATAAATTACTAGTTTCTAAGACAATCATGAAAAGCTAAGCAGGGATTAACGTGTGTGGTTTTATTTAAATATACACCACCATTCTGCAGAGATACTTCTAATGCCACATCTTGCCCAAATATGTTCTTGTCTCTGTCAAGGTTAGCAACATGTAGATGAATAGAAATCATTTCTATTAAAAAATTACAAAGCATGTTACATATCTTAAGAGGGCTACACCAGTTTTCATTGTATTTTGCAGGTATTAGCACTTTTTTTTAATGTACTTTAAATATTAGAGGGTCAAAATAATCTTTCTGCTTAGCATCTCTTGCCTGCAAATATAGCAGGGATGTTATATTTACTTTACTACTTGTATAAACTATGCAGAAATTTTTTAATAAAATGTAATATATTTTATAAGCTAATAAGACTGAATGGGTAATTAAAGGTTTCTAGTGTGCATTACTATAACTTGCAAATATGGAGACATTTTGGTAATCTTTTCTTACTAAAGATGTGAATGTTTAATGTACTTTCACTGTTTCTACTTTGGTAGTCCAATGGGAATTCAGTAATGACATTTTGTCATGTCAAACTGTGAACAGAAATTTGTACTGTACAGTCCTCATACGATATTTAGTATACAGTGCCTATGTATTATACTTGTTAATAAAACCCTCAGAACATTGTTTGTAGTCATGCCGTCACACGCTGTAGGACAAGGAGCCATGACCCAGGTGCAAGGGTCAGAGGTGTGCCCAGGGATCCCCGCTGGCTGGGGCAGCATGCAGGAGCCCCGGGATTTTGGAGGCCCTTCTGCAGCACGGGTGCCACCTCCCACGCGTACCTGCCCCACACACACCGACGCCGGAGCGGGCAGGGCAGGAGCACAGACGCTGCCGGCGCTGCCTGTGAGCACCTGCGCCGCTTCTGGCTCCTGTGCTGTGGAGGAGCTGTGCCCAACTGGGCTCTTCGGGCAAATTCGCAAAAATAGTTTACGCGCTTCTAATTCGGGCACTCTAATTAATCCATTGGTGGGTCTGGAGCATCAGTCTTGCAAGCTGGCGCCTTTTACTCCTTGCAAAATGGCTGCCTGGGCCTGCGCCTTTAGCCGCGCTCTTCCCCACAGCCCTTTTCCAGGCCGGGCAGGTGCAGACTGCCAATACACCAATGCACGTGAATCCTGCGCCCCTCCGGGCACACCCGCAGGCTTTGCGGAGAGATGATGATGTGTAGAGCCGATGAAGAATTTTTTTTATTTCTTCACATGTTTTCGAATGCCTAAAAAGAGTGAGCCCATTGAATTCACTATGCATCTCTCAGCACTTTCCATGCCTGCTTGAGGTAACTGCATCGGGATGTTGGTCTGCCGCTGCCTGGGACCCAGCAGATCAGCCCGGTGACATACAGAAGGGAAAGCAGGTACAGCAGAAATGAGGCATAAAAATAAAACACTGCAAACAGCAAACAGAATGTGGGGAAATGAGGGGCTTGTACTTCTTGGTGTCCTGCTTGAAAATAAGGATTGCTTATTATAAAGCACGAGTCAGTGCTCATATCATACTGTAGGTTTGTGAGTTTCATTTGTTAGCAAACCGCTCAGTACCTGGGCCCCACAGCCTGCCCAGCGGGAGGGCACAATGGCATGGGGCTGGAGTCACAGCCGCTGAATTCCCAGCCGCTGAGCCAGTGCATGGTGAAGGGCTCGTCCTGACCCCCTTCTCCAGCCCCACACACCTGCAAGAGGCTCCTCCGTTTGCTAGTGGTTATCTATTCCGGTTTTCCTAAGAGGCGAAATGCGTTGTGTGTGTTCCAGCATTGAGCCATCGTTTTCATGAACCAGTGATGATTCAATCGGCCACTGGGCGTCACCACTAGTCTGAGAAAAAGCAAAATTTAAGCTTACGAGATTGTGATAAAGCAAAACTTTTTCACTGTGAGGGTGACAGAGCACCGGAACAGGCTGCCCAGAGAGGTTGTGGAGTCTCCTTCTCTGGAGACATTCAGAACCCGCCCGGACGGGTTCCTGTGTGACCTACTCTAGGTGGTCCTGCTCTGGCAGGGGGGTTGGACTAGATGGTCTTCCGAGGTCCCTTCCAACCCCTAACACTCTGTGGTTCTGTGATTCAGTGAAACTATTTCTCTTCTCGTAGTTAAGAAATGAAGCTGTTCCCTCTGTCTGTGACTGTGTCGGATCCT